ACTGGGATGGTCTGGATGCTGCTAAAACACACCTCATCTCAGTTTACAGTGAAGAGACCTTGTTGTTAGTGTTTGTGGTGGTCCTGCTGTGATATACTGGGCCACTAATGCTGGGCTCCTGCAGCTTATGGCCTAGTTTGTCATCTTGAGTAGAGTTTTCTTTCACGTTGAGACATTTTTCTCGGCACTTCCTTGTCTCTCCGGCACATTTTGTGTTTCTTCTCTTTTAGTTTTTATCTTTTGGATAGAGAGGTAGCTAAATATAAAAGAAATAGTTTTTTGTGGTCGGGAGATTTTTCCCCAAGGAGTTATTGTTTTTAAAACACAATTTAGTTGAGGTAATATATATTGTGTATCTCCTCAGCAGTCCTCCTCCCTGCTGTCCCATTCATCAATACACCCGTCTCACCTCTGACCTTTAACCTACTGAATATTCGTTCCTTGTGACACTGATGATTTAGAAGTGGGAGGCTGCTCTGTTTGTTGACTTCGCTGCTAGTCTGCTCAGACCAGAGGACTGGCTGAAGGCCCAAAATGTAAATATGAAATGTAGTAACACAAGAAGAGAACATTATCGGTGATCAAGCTAGGTAACAGGTATCGGTAACAGCTTGTTGTCACCTTCTTCTGAGGACACCGCCGACCAGACGAAAACACAGCGGCTTGGTAATTCTCTCTTCTCTCTATTATAAGACAATCAGGCATTTGGAAAGCGTGAGAGCAAAGTAATATGTTAGGTCGTGTAATGATTGAGAAACATGTAGGGGAGAAGGTTTTGAAATCAACATGAGTGACGATGAGTAAAAGCATGAGATTCATTGTTGGTTCTATGAGCTGTGGTTGCACAACTGAAAAGAGATAAGAAGAGAAAAAGCCACGATTTGTTGTTTATTCAAAATATAATCTGCTGTGTAACTGCATTGCATTCTGGCCTTTTTCTCGCACTTGTGGTTGTCAAATTTGATCTCGATGGATTTCTCTCTGTATGATAGTTGGTGCCAAAAAAAAATGTGATTCTGTGGGAATGATGCTCAGAAATCCTCTTGATGTTTTGACCGAAACGTTTCCTGCAGTCAAGCTTCAATTTAGCCGACAACTAAATTATCCCAGAAAATAAAGAGTGTTCCATTTCACAACAGTGTTGGGAACTTTAAATGACGGGCTTTCTTTCCTGTATTGCATGTGTATCTGATAAGGAGATCGAGCTGTGGTTGATGATATTTTCTGAACACATGCCTTCAACAGGCTTGGCTGTAAATGTGCTTTAGCGAGCAGTTATTTCGATGCACCTTTCGATTGCAGCAATGTGACGCGTAGGAACAAAGTCTGAGATCCTCAGCGATCATTCTGAATTGAAATAGATATATTTAATCTGCAGTCTCATCGAGAGGAAAGGGGAAGAGGTTACTTCTGTTTATTAAAGTAGCATCAAATGACACTCGTGGCAGGACTATGTAAAAAACAAACATACATTGTACTTCTTATTTGAATGGTTTGGACCTTAATTTATACAGATTATATAATGTTTGCTGAGGTTTGGGGAAACATCACAATGACATCTGACAGGGCAAGAATCACGAGTAAATAGTTAAACTGATTTATTTAATCCACTTCAGGTAAAACTGAAAGTGGATCCAAAAATATTTAATTTCTTTATGAACATCAAAACAATGCAATATGATAAATATTACGTCATTATGAGTTAACGTTAGCACCACGCGACATTTATCTTCAGTGAGGTGCGAGTCTACTGGGACCAGAGAGGCAGAGTGGACTAGTTCTACTGGGACCAG